AACATGACGTTCAATGGTGATAAGTTCCAGCATGGAAAGAATGAAGAACTCGAAAGGAGCACTATATACAAAACTCAAGAGGGTCACCAAACAGAACGTAAGGAACACGTAAAAGACCTGGGAATAATTATGTCAGGGACCGTTCTTTTAAAGACCATAACAAGACAAAGATCACGACAGCCAGGAAGATGACGGGGTGGGTTTTGAGAACTTTCAAAACAAATCGCTAGTGCTCCCTCACTTGGAATATTGCTCAGTGCTGACGGCCCCGTTCAAGGCAGGAGAAATATCAGAGCTGGAACAAATACAAAGAGCGTTTACGGCTCACATTGTGCCAGTAAAGGACCTAAACTACTGGGAACGCCTGCAAGTCTTGAACATGTACTCACTGGAGCGGAGGAGAGGGAGGTACATGATAATATAACCTGGAAGGTACTCGAGGGCTTGGTCCCAAATCTGCACACTGCCATAACAACATACTAGAGTGAGAGATATGGGAGGAAGTGTAAAATAAACCCAGTGAGGAGCAGGGGTGCGGTGGGGACAATAAGGCAACACTGTACCAACATCCGGGGTCCCAGACTTTTCAACATCTTACCAGAAGATATCAGAAACACCGCTGGGACAAGTGTTGAAGCCTTCAAGAGGAAACTGGACAAGTATTTTCACCAGGTGCCAGATCAACCACGCTATGATAGATATGTGGGGCAGTGGGCCTCCAGCAGCAACAGCCTGGTTGAGCAGGCAAGCACCAGACGAGCCTGGCCCATGGCCGGGCTCAGAGAGTAGATAAACTCTCGAAACTCTTCAAAGGTATAAGGTATACCCACCCAGTTACTCAACTACCCAGTCGCTCAACTACCCAGTCACTCACCTACCCAGTCACCCACCAAGTCACCCACCAAGTCACCCACCAAGTCACCCACCAAGTCACTCACCAAGTCACCCACCAAGTCACCCACCAAGTCACCCACCAAGTCACCCACCAAGTCACCCACCAAGTCACCCACCAAGTCACCCACCAAGTCACCCACCAAGTCACCCACCAAGTCACTCACCAAGTCACCCACCAAGTCGCCCACCAAGTCACCCACCAAGTCACCCACCAAGTCACCCACCAGTCACCCACAAGTCACTCACAAGTCACCCACCAAGTCACCACCAAGTCACCCCACCAAGTCACTCACCAAGTCACCACAAGTCACCCACCAAGTCACTCACCAAGTCACCCACCAAGTCACCACCAAGTCACCCACCAAGTCACCCACCAAGTCACCCACAAGTCACTCACCAAGTCACCCACCAAGTCACCCACCAAGTCACCCACCAAGTCACCCACCAAGTCACCCACAAGTCACCCACCAAGTCACTCACCAAGTCACCCACCAAGTCACCCACAAGTCACCCACCAAGTCACCTCACCAAGTCCACCCACCAAGTCACCCACCAAGTCACCCACCAAGTCACCCACCAAGTCACCACCAAGTCACCCACCAAGTCACCCACCAAGTCACCCACCAAGTCACCCACCAAGTCACCCACCAAGTCACTCACCAAGTCACCCACCAAGTCACCCACCAAGTCACTCACCAAGTCACCACCAAGTCACCCACCAAGTCACCCACCAAGTCACCCACCAAGTCACTCACCAAGTCACCCACCAAGTCACCCACCAAGTCACCCACCAAGTCACTCACCAAGTCACCCACCAAGTCACCCACCAAGTCACCCACCAAGTCACCCACCAAGTCACCCACCAAGTCACTCACCAAGTCACCCACCAAGTCACCCACCAAGTCACCCACCAAGTCACCCACCAAGTCACCCACCAAGTCATCACCCAAGTCACCCACCAAGTCACCACCAAGTCACCCACCAAGTCACCCACCAAGTCACTCACCAAGTCACCCACCAAGTCCCCCACCAAGTCACCCACCAAGTCACTCACCAAGTCACCCACCAAGTCACCCACCAAGTCACCCACCAAGTCACCCACCAAGTCACCCACCAAGTCACCCACTCATAAGCTACAACATCCACGCAAATAAAAATCCTTCACACACACACTCCTAATAAAATAACACTAATTCTGTAGTATTAAAATATCAGCCTTCAATTAAAACTCTACATCATCAAGAGGAAGATGGAAAAATTATACATCAAGAGGAAGATGGAAAAATTATACATCAAGAGGAAGATGGAAAAATTATACATCAAGAGGAAGATGGAAAAATTATACATCAAGAGGAAGATGGGAAAAATTATATATCAAGAGGAAGATGGAAAAATTATACATCAAGAGGAAGATGGAAAAATTATACATCAAGAGGAAGATGGAAAAATTATACATCAAGAGGAAGATGGAAAAATTATACATCAAGAGGAAGATGGAAAAAATTATACATCAAGAGGAAGATGGAAAAATTATACATCAAGAGGAAGATGGAAAATTATACATCAAGAGGAAGATGGAAAAATTATACATCAAGAGGAAGATGGAAAAATTATAAAAAAAAACAATCAAGAGGAAGATGGAAAAATTATACATCAAGAGGAAGATGGAAAAATTATACATCAAGAGGAAGATGGAAAAATTATACATCAAGAGGAAGATGGAAAAATTATACATCAAGAGGAAGATGGAAAAATTATATCATCAAGAGGAAGATGGAAAAATTATACATCAAGAGGAAGATGAAAAATTATACATAAGAGGAAGATGGAAAAATTATACATCAAGAGGAAGATGGAAAAATTATACATCAAGAGGAAGATGGAAAAATTATACATCAAGAGGAAGATGGAAAAATTATACATCAAGAGGAAGATGGAAAAATTATACATCAAGAGGAAGATGGAAAAAATTATACATCAAGAGGAAGATGGAAAAATTATACATCAAGAGGAAGATGGAAAAATTATACATCAAGAGGAAGATGGAAAATTATACATCAAGAGGAAGATGGAAAAATTATACATCAAGAGGAAGATGGAAAAATTATACATCAAGAGGAAGATGGAAAAATTATACATCAAGAGGAAGATGGAAAAATTATACATCAAGAGGAAGATGGAAAAAATTATACATCAAGAGTAAGATGGAAAAATTATACATTTAAGAGGAAGATGGAAAAATTTATACATCAAGAGGAAGATGGAAAAATTATACATCAAGAGGAAGATGGAAAAATTATACATCAAGAGGAAGATGGAAAAATTATACGAGGGGAAGATGGGAAAATTATACATAAAGAGATGAAAAAATTATACATCAAGAGATAGGAAAATTATACTTCATGAGGTAAATGGAAACATTATACATCAAGAGGGAGATGAGAAAATCGAGGCACAAGTCTAGGACGTCACCTGACTGATTAATGAACTGATATGACTGAAGCTGCGAACAAAGAGAAAAAATATACTGCACTGTGTTGTACTGTATACAGCAGTGTGTGTCGCACTGTGTGTCGCACTGTGTGTCGCACTGTGTCGCACTGTGTACAGCACTGTGTACAGCACTGTGTCGCACTGTGTACAACACTTTTTGACGTACTGTGTACAGCACTGTGTCGCACCGGGTACAGCACTTTTTGTCGTACTGTGTACAGCACTGTGTCGCACTGTGTGCAGCACTGTGTCGCACTGTGTACAGCACTTTTTGTCGTACTGTGTGGAGCACTGTGTCGCACTGTGTACAGCACTTTTTGTCGCACTGTGTACAATTTTTGTCGTACTGTGTGCAACACTGTGTCGTACTATGTAAAGCACTTTTCGTCGTACTGTGTGCAGCACTGTGTTGTACTGTGTCGCACGGTGTACAGCACTTTTTGTCGTAGTGTGCGCAGCACTGTGTGGTGTACTGTGTGCAGCGCTGTGTCGCACTGTGTACAGCACTTTTTGTCGTAGTGTGTGCAGCACTGTGTATCGCACTGTGTGTTGCACTGTGTGTCGCACTATGTACAGCACTGTGTACAGCACTTTTTGTCGTACTGTGTGCAGCATTGTGTCTCACTGTGTACAGCACTGTGTTGCACTGTGTGTCGCACTGTGTACAGCACTGTGTGTCGTACTGTGTACAACACGTTTTGTCGTACTGTGCAGCATTGTGTCGCACTGTGTGTTGTACTGAGTACACTTTTTGTTGTACTGTGTGTAGCACTGTGTGTTGTACTGTGTGTCGCAATGGTGAGCACTGTGTCGCACTGTGTCGCACGCCACCAGGTATTGACAATGGCCTCGACTACGATGGATATAAGCAGAAAAAATGTATAAACAGAAGAGTTCTCTTGTCTTTATAATTATTAATATTCCCGGGAAGTACTAAACCCGAGTGGGTCAGTCAGTGTAAGGTGCAGTGGAGGTTCTATCCTCCGTCAGTCAGCTGTGTTTATGGTTGACAACCTAAATAATTTTACGCACCTACAAATAGATCAGACCACCACAGCGCACTAGTCTTCGGACGCAGGAAGAACTATTTAAAACTACAAAAAAAAAGATATATTCTTGTATGTAGTGGTGAGCTTAATGGTCCTGTTGATGGTTTGACCTCTCTGGATATCCAAGAAACACCTGACACGACCACAAGAACAAATTTCATAAGAACATAAGATTGGAGGAACACTGCACGAACAACTTAATTCTATAAAAACTGCTACAAGAACAATTTAAGGCATCAAGAGTCGGTGTTTACATGCACTGGCAACCTTGACGGTCCTGCTGATGGTTTGACCTCTGGACATCCATGAAAAACACTGACACGACAAAAATGGAAATTTCATTATCTTAAATCTTAAAAAACTGCTACAAGAACAACTTTTAAGCTACAGGAGTCTGTACTCACATGTAGTGGAGATATTAACGGTCCTGCTGATGGTTTGGCCTCTGGGGCTCCAGGTAACACACTGACACGACGACAAGAACAAACTGAAATTTCATAAACTTAAATCTAAAAGATGAAAATGCTACAAGAACAATTTAAGGCATCAAGAGTAAGTACTCACATGCAGTGGCGACCTTGACGGTCCTGCTGATGGTTTGACCTCTGGAACTCCAGGCAACACAGTGACAGGTGTAGCCAGCCTCGTCCTGGTCACCAACACCCTCCACTACACTCTTCTCCACCTGCAGCTGCACCTCCATCACCCTCACACCCGTCATGGGGTCCACGAAGGCACTCTCCGTCTCAGTGTTAGGCGCTGGCACTCCTCCGTTACACTTGAAGTGCACTGTACACAAACACACGAACAATTAATAGTGCATCAGTGACTGGAACCAGTTACATTAAATAGCAAGAACAGTCACAACTATTATACTTGAAGTGCACAAACACACGAACAGTTAAAATAAATGAAGTGCACTGTACACAAACACACGAAGAGTTAGTCGTGCACCAGTGACTGGAACCAGTTACAAGAATAGTCAGTGACAAGAATAGTCACCAATTATAAACTGAAGTGCACTGTATGCAAACACACGAACAGTTACTAGAACGGCAGACTGGAACCGCTTATAATAAATGGCAAAAAAAAATAATAATAATGATACTACTATATACCGTAGAAGGTAAGAAAGACTTGAATTATTTTCATTTTTCATTTTTGTAATGAATAATAATCAACAAATCTGTGAAAATTCAATCAACCATCATCATTCTCATAATAGTCATAACAATGTCGTATCGAAATCACAAAATACAATCCACTTTATGACGGATGACGCTGTCAAGCAATAATCGGACAAAAAGAACTAAAACAGTGCAAGACTATATCAAAAAACTGTACCAAAATCTTTCCTTGATCGAAACGTCGTTACAATAAACACTTACACTGTTTCAGGTGTTTCTCATTCAATATACTTCACCAAAATCTGAAAACAAATTTAAAGACGAGAAATATGTTTTAATGGCCATGAGCACAGACAATAACAATGAAAGTTTTTAATAGACAGTCAGACAAAACAAACTAAAATAAATTTCTTTAAAATAAACAAGTTAGTTGAAGATTCACTCTCATTAAAACCGGATTATTTTCTTTTGAAAAAAGATCACAAGAGATCTTAAATTAAGTCTGTCCTGTGTTCTGAATTAAAACCTCAGAGAACACTTGCATATTAAAGTTCAATGAACACTTAATGTACACTTTACGTTAAAACTTACTTTTTTAATAAATTAGTTTATTGTTTTTGAATGCGGATGACTGTAGCACTAAACATGGTCTTCTGACTGGTGGTCTGTAACATAAACATGGTCTTCTGACTGGTGGACTGTAGCACTAAACATGGTCTTCTGACTGGTGGACTGTAACACTAAACATGGTCTCCTGACTGGTGGTCTGTAACATAAACATGGTCTCCTGACTGGTGGACTGTAGCACTATACATGGTCTCTGATGGGACTGTAGCACTAAACATGGTCTCCTGAATGGTGGTCTGTAACATAAACAGGTTCCTGACTGTGGACTGTAGCACTAAACATGGTTCCTGACTGTGGTCTGTAACATTACAATGTTCGACTAGTGGACTGTAGCACTAAAATGAGTCTCCTGATGGTGGATTAGCATAAACATGGTTCATGATGTGACTGTAGCACTAAACATGGTCTCTGACTGGGACTGTAGACTATACCTGTCTCTGAATGGGACTGCACAAAAATGTTACTATGTGATGTACACTATACATGGTCCCGAGGTGACTGTAGCATAAATGCTCGACTGTGCGTAATAACATGTTTCTTTTCATGTTGGATGTATGAATAAAATGTCTCCTGAATGCGACTGTGCATAAACAATGCTCATCATGTGGTCTGTAAATCATAAACATGTCTCTGTGGTGACTGTAGCACTAAAATGTCTCCTGACTGTATGTAACGATAACATGGTTCTGACTGGTGGACATGTAGCACTAAACAGGTCTCAGACTGTCGGAACTGTAGCATAAACATGTTCCTGACTGGAACGTGTAGCAATAAAACATGTCACTGTCGGTGTGTCTGTAACATAATATATGTCCCACTGGTGACTACACAAAATGGTCTACTGAGGCGAGACTATGCATAAACATGGTCTCTGACGTGGTCTGTAACATAAACATGGTTTCTCATGACGTCAGGACTGTAGCACTAAACATGGTACTCTGCGTTCTGTAAAATAAACAGTTAGTTCTGATTGGCGGACTGTAGCACTAAACATGGTTCTCTACTGTGTCTGAAATAAAATGGTCCTGACGATGACTGTACATTAAACATGGTTCTCCTGATGTGTGCTGTAGACTAAACATGTCTCTGCAGGGGCTTAAATAACAGGCTCTGATGGTGGACGTTGCAATAACACTAATGTCTCTTGACAGTGTCTGTACTTAATAAAATGTGTATCTTTGAATGGGTGACTGTAGCACTAAACATGGTCTCCTGCTGGTGGCTGTAGCACTAAACATGGTCTCCTGACAGGTGGTCTGTAACATAAACATGGTCTCCTGACTGGTGGACTGTAGCACTAAACATGGTCTCCTGACAGGTGGTCTGTAACATAAACATGGTCTCCTGACTGGTGGACTGTAGCACTAAACATGGTCTCCTGACTGGTGGTCTGTAGCACTAAACATGGTCTCCTGACTAGCGGACTGTAGCACTAAACATGGTCTCTTGACTGGTGGTCTGTAACATAAACATGGTCTCCTGACTAGCGGACTGTAGCACTAAACATGGTCTTCTGACTGGTGGTCTGTAACATAAACATGGTCTCCTGACTAGCGGACTGTAGCACTAAACATGGTCTCCTGACTGGTGGACTGTAACATAAACATGGTCTCCTGACTGGTGGTCTGTAACATAAACATGGTCTCCTGACTAGCGGACTGTAGCACTAAACATGGTCTCTTGACTGGTGGTCTGTAACATAAACATGGTCTCCTGACTGGTGGACTGTAGCACTAAACATGGTCTCCAGACTGGTGGTCTGTAACATAAACATGGTCTCCTGACTAGCGGACTGTAGCACTAAACATGGTCTCTTGACTGGTGGACTGTAACATAAACATGGTCTCCTGACTGGTGGTCTGTAACATAAACATGGTCTCCTGACTGGTGGACTGTAGCACTAAACATGGTCTCTTGACTGGTGGTCTGTAACATAAACATGGTCTCCTGACTGGTGGTCTGTAACATAAACATGGTCTCCTGACTGGCGGACTGTAGCACTAAACATGGTCTCCTGACTGGTGGACTGTAGCACTAAACATGGTCTCCTGACTGGCGGACTGTAGCACTAAACATGGTCTCCTGACTGATGGACTGTGCACTAAACATGGTCTCCTGACTGGTGGACTGTAGCACTAAACATGGTCTCCTGACTGGTGGACTGTAGCACTAAACATGGTCTCCTGACTGGTGGACTGTAGCACTAAACATGGTCTACTGACTGGCGGACTGTAGCACTAAACATGGTCTCCTGACTGGTGGACTGTAGCACTAAACATGGTCTACTGACTGGCGGACTGTAGCACTAAACATGGTCTACTGACTGGCGGACTGTAGCACTAAACATGGTCTCCTGACTGGTGGATGTAGCACTACTGTTCTGACTGTGGTCAGTAACAAAACATGGTCTCCTGACTGGTGGACTGTAGCACTAAACATGGTCTCCTGACTGGTGGACTGTAGCACTAAACATGGTCTCCTGACTGGTGGTCTGTAACATAAACATGGTCTCCTGACTGGTGGACTGTAGCACTAAACATGGTCTCCTGACTGGTGGTCTGTAACATAAACATGGTCTCCTGACTGGCGGACTGTAGCACTAAACATGGTCTCTTGACTGGTGGTCTGTACACTAAACATGGTCTCCTGACTGGTGGACTGTAGCACTAAACATGGTCTCCTGACTGGTGGTCTGTAACATAAACATGGTCTAATGACTGGCGGACTGTAGCACTAAACATGGTCTCCTGACTGGTGGTCTGTAACATAAACATGGTCTCCTGACTGGCGGACTGTAGCACTAAACATGGTCTCCTGACTGGTGGTCTGTAAAATAAACATGGTCTCCTGACTGGTGGACTGTAGCACTAAACATGGTCTCCTGACTGGTGGTCTGTAACATAAACATGGTCTCCTGACTGGCGGACTGTAGCACTAAACATGGTCTCCTGACTGGTGGTCTGTAAAATAAACATGGTCTCCTGACTGGCGGACTGTAGCACTAAACATGGTCTCCTGACTGGTGGTCTGTAACATAAACATGGTCTCCTGACTAGCGGACTGTAGCACTAAACATGGTCTCCTGACTGGTGGACTGTAGCACTAAACATGGTCTCCTGACTGGTGGACTGTAGCACTAAACATGGTCTCCTGACTGGTGGTCTGTAAAATAAACATGGTCTCCTGACTGGTGGACTGTAGCACTAAACATGGTCTCCTGACTGGTGGACTGTAGCACTAAACATGGTCTCCTGACTGATGGTTAGCATAACTGGTCTGACTGGGTCTGTACTAAACATGGTCTCCTGACTGGCGGACTGTAGCACTAAACATGGTCTCCTGACTGGTGGACTGTAGCACTAAACATGGTCTCCTGACTGGTGGACTGTAGCACTAAACATGGTCTCCTGACTGGTGGTCTGTAGCACTAAACATGGTCTCCTGACTGGTGGTCTGTAACATAAACATGGTCTCCTGACTGGTGGACTGTAGCACTAAACATGGTCTCCTGACTGGTGGACTGTAGCACTAAACATGGTCTCCTGACTGGTGGTCTGTAACATAAACATGGTCTCCTGACTGGTGGACTGTAGCACTAAACATGGTCTCCTGACTGGTGGTCTGTAACATAAACATGGTCTCCTGACTGGTGGACTGTAGCACTAAACATGGTCTCCTGACTGGCAGACTGTAGCACTAAACATGGTCTTCTGACTGGTGGTCTGTAACATAAACATGGTCTCCTGACTGGGGACTTAGCACTAAACATGGGCTCCTTGACTGGTGGTCTGTAACATAAACATGGTCTCCTGACTGGTGGACTGTAGCACTAAACATGGTCTCCTGACTTGTGGTCTGTAGCACTAAACATGGTCTCCTGACTGGTGGACTGTAGCACTAAACATGGTCTCCTGACTGGTGGTCTGTAGCACTAAACATGGTCTCCTGACTGGTGGTCTGTAACATAAACATGGTCTCCTGACTGGTGGTCTGTAACATAAACATGGTCTCCTGACTGGTGGACTGTAGCACTAA